CCCCACCAGGATTTCAGCACTTCCTCTTTGTTACATTCCCCTTGATCATGCCCTACCAGGTCTCCCACACCCACCTCCCCACCAATTTGGAGGTTTTCATTCTTACCAGCCACTTTTCTCTGGATGTAAGAGCAGAATGATATTTTATTTTGTTTGATTTGCTATATTTTTGGATCTCGTCCATTTAACAATTTGGTCTTTCCTGCCAAACCAGATCTAACTCATCTAGATTGCATATAACCCCCATACAAAAAATAAGTTTACAATAAATATTCATAAACATTCCCTTAGGAAACTCTATGAAAATTTTTCATAAATTAGGAACCTATATGAAATACAATCTAATTTGGTAAGCGCAGTGGTTGCACTTGTTTTCCCTATTAACACATGTACTTAAGGGTTCCCTCTGACTAAATACCCATAATTACCTAATAGTTGATTGTTTTCATGGGTGAAATGAGTCTCTTTAGTGTTTCTATTTTAATTTACATTTGCTTAATAACTAATAAGTTTGAACATCTATATATATCTCTTCTTTGGTCATTTGAATTCTCTTTTTTCTATCCATTATTTCTTCATATCTTTTGCTTATTTTTGTTACTGATTTCCTAGCCCCCTGTTGTTTTGAAGGAGTTCCTTGCACAGTCTACATGTAATGTTTTGTTAGTTTTAAATATTGAAAATACCTTCCATTCTGATATCTTTCCCATTATCTTTGGCTATGATATCCTGCACTGAACTAAAACAACTCACAGCTACCGAGTTGATGTCAACTCAGCGACTGTAAGGACAGGTAGACCTGTCCCTGTGGGTTTCTGAGACTGTAACTCTTTTATTTTTTTAATAGCAGTTTTATTGGCCCATAGTGAACATATATAGTTCAATCGTTCATTCATATCTAGGAGAATTGTGCAATCATTACCACATCAATTCTCGAACATCCCTCAATGGTTATATCTCCTTTAAAGTGAGTTGTGCAATCACAGTCAGTTCTAGAGCTCCTCCCCTCTCTTGCCTTCATTTTTCATTCCTGAAAGCCCCTTTCCCTCCCTAGCACCCACCTCACCCCT